TTTGTTTTGTTTTTAGTGCATTTTGTTTTGTTTTTAGTGCATTTTGTTTTGTTTTTCGTGTATTTTGTTTGGAAGTCGGTTTTGTTTTTTTCTCATAATTATTTAATTGTTACACTTAATGGGCAGATCTTTTCATTACGAAGGGACGAAGGGAAAGGAAAACAATTATCAAACAATCTTGCGTATACAAAGAAAAAAATAACATCCCATGAAAATAGAGGAGATTCTATAGATTTACTCCGTTTGTACTTCTTAAGGTCCTTTCCCACTAACTGATTTTTACGATAGTTACTGTTCGCAGATATAGAAATTGCACTGCGCACTGGTGGAAAAGATGCTTAAATTAATTTCTTAAACGCGAAAACGTTTAGTTTAAAAGAAAAAATGAAGTGCTTTTGTTTCACATTAAATTGTGAACTCAGCTGAAACTGAGAAGGACCTCGTTAACGGACCGTTTTCTTCAAAACTCACGAAAACGTTGACATTCGTTTAACTATAGGAAAGTTAAGACGTTAAAACAAAACTTTTAAAGGATCTAAACGTTTTTTTTGAAACCATTTTATTTTATAAATAGTGTTTTGGATGTATACTAATACTAATACTGGCGTAAAATGTCAGCAATCACAGCATGTTTTTGTAATCTTTTTTAAATAAAAATCCGTACACTAACGTCACGTTTTAGGCTATATATTTTTATCTTATGGGGTAAATAAATTGGATAAAAACCATAATGTGGGAAAGGGACTATAAGCTACAAGCTGCCAACATCAAGGAAGTAAGATTGCAATGGTTTGTCATCATGTCACGTCATTTTGACATTTGCAATTGATAATTTGACACATGTAAGTAATAAAATTTAAATTTTCATAGTTTTATGAGGATGAAGCCGCACGCGAACATTAGTATTAAATATTATTGATTTTGTTCAAAGGAAATTAGAGTCCTATTAAAATAAGCGAGTAAACTACGTTATTTTTTTAAACAACAAGCCGTCGAGTTAAAAATAATTTATAGCAAAAATTGCTATCTGATATGAAAGGTTTAACCTTAATAAATTTTGCCCTAAAAAGTTTGTTGAAGAGTAAACGACAACCAAACTTCGTTTACTAAAGCATTTTGAAAGATCAGAGGGCTTGATTTTGTTGTTTTATCGTTTAATGAAACTTCAGAGGGTGGAAAATATTTACAGTAGACAAAATTCGAGACTTATACAAAACAAATTTAACTACGTGACTAAAAGCCTTTCAGATACATTACAAACGCCATTGTCGAAAGGCGAGCTACTTCGAAGGTTTAATTTATTATTAGCAACTCGTTCACTTGAAACTTAGCTATAACTTAGCTCTACTTGGATGAAGTTGACCGTTTGAGTTACAGTAAGTTAGCGCAGTATAGATGGAGTCGGTAAGAATTAAAATTTTATGCGCGTCAGATAATATTCATTATTTTTACTTTAATTTTTAATTTCTTTTGTTTTGAGATTCTTCTTTTGTTTTATAATTTTAAAATTAATCTCTATAAGCAAATGAACAAATGACGTCATCACACGATGACGTCATTTGGTCATTAAGAGTATACCCTAAGGGTAAATTTAATATTAGAAATCTACACTATTTTCCCTAGTCATTACTACTCTGAGTTAGATCGTAAACTTCTAATATCCCTTAGCTTAATTATATGCATTACTTACTTCAAATGTTTAGTGTACAGGTGACAACTTGTTACTTTAAGTGAGACATTAAGCGGTGTACACTAACTTCAACTTGCAACGTTCAGTTAATTTTGTTTGTATATGCAATGTAGCGCTCTGTCGCAGCAGCGGCAAATCACTAACTGCTAGGCTTTCCTGAATGTTTTTGAGTGTAAAAATGTTAGTCAAATAAACAAGAGCGCGGTGGTTCATTGGTTTAAGCACTTGACTTGTAATCTCAAGTTCTTGGGTTCGAATCCCGCCATGTACCAATTTGATTTTCGAATTTTCATATGTACATAATTTACCCGATGTTTTTACGGCGAAGGGAAACAGCGTGAGAAAACCAGCACATATCGGCGAAGAAATTCAAAGATATGTGAGAAGTTAACCAACCCGCACTGGGCCAGTGTAGTTGACTAAGGCCTAGTCACCCTAACCTGGGGTAGGCTGCAAGCCCCTCGGTGGGGACGTATAGTGAGCTGGTGATGATGATGAAAATAAACAAACAATACATTGTCGGAAAGTTCTTTTTCTAAAGGATTTTTATTATAATAGAAAGCAATGATGTAGTTTTGGTACCTTCTGAAGTGGGCAAGAATCATTATTTGATTTCGTCTTATTTTAACAGCATTTATATTTAGGGTTTTTTATAGATATATGTGATATGTAAAATTGAACTTGTGTACATATGTAGGTTTAGCTAACGTCGGCTTCTCGCATCCAATATCCGGAAAGATAATCAAGATGGCTGAACATCCGGAGACGCCGTATTGTACAACTGCAATTGTCATTATCTGGAATCGAGTAATGTGTTGTATATATTTGTTTATTGGTTAGTATTAATTGATTTCAGAGACAGTTGTATTTGAAGACATATTTAAAAAAAGAATACCGTAATCTATACTTCTATACTAATATAATAAAGCGTAAACACACTTCTTTGTTGCCGAAGATGTCAATTACAGCATATTTTCGAATAATTCCTTTTTTAATAAAAAGCCCTACACTTACGTCATGCTTTAGGATATATTTTCACGCCATTAAACTTAAGAGGTAAATATTTTGGATAAAAATCCTAATGTGGGAAAGAGATCATAAGTTGATGCCAACATCAAAAAAGAAAGATTGCTAAGGTTTGTCATGTCATGTCATTTTGACATTTACTATTGATAATTTGACAAATGTAAACAATAAAATAAAATTTCATAATTTCATGCGGATGAAGCCGCACGGGAACAGCTAAGTCATACATATGTAGTTACTTTAAATGAAAATTATTAATAACTCTTTTACTCGATTATTATCTCGACGCTAAAAGTCCCATCTATTATAATGTAATATGAGAAGTCGTTAGAGAAGTTTTAAAAAGTAGAACGTCCCGAGGTTATTTGATTAGATTTCTTGGAAAGCGTGTACTTTTAACATCGAAGCTGTATAAAATCGATTATTAAATGAAACACGTCATTGATAAATGTTATATATCATTTTAAGTATTAAAAATATGCTATAATAAAATATCTTAGGTCAGGCAATTTTTTGTGTTTTTGGAAAATAAACAAGACACGTAAAAGAACCCTTACATACTTTTATTGGTTGATTTTAAAATATCAATATTGGAATGTTCGGAATACTTTTAAAAAGGATTGGAACACAAACTACTAAATATGAACTGTATTTCGCGCCATTTATTTTTATTCGCTTCGGTTACGAATGAAAAATGTTCGCGGTAAAAGCAAAAAGCGCGGGAACGATTCGACCGCGGCTCTCAGTTATCCCGTACAATAAATACTAATGCTGGTTGGTTTGGAAATAAAAATACAAACCAATAGGACATCGGTTTTTATTGCCATTTGTATACGTTATTGGGAGACAATTTATTTTTTTCGCAGTTTAAAATTCGAACGTAATTCGCTTTCACATTTTAAAACTAAAATCATTATTTAAATATTAATGTTGGTTCTGTTAATGATAATTATATAATTTTTAAATAAAATGTGACGTTAAAACATTTTTTTCTTAAAATATATTTCAATTTATGAAATTACATTCTCGTTGGTAACCGCAGATGGCTGTGTAGCCAGTATAAGAAGCACCCGTCCGTGAAAATAGGTCGGTACGGTGATTTTTTTAAAAGAAATTTCCATTGAGTTACGCCCCACATTCCCATCCCATCCACTGCGTAAAACCTAAACGTCATTCTATTCTATCACAAACCTTAATGTTTATAAGAGACTATCTTTCACCCACGACTCCGTCCGCGTGGAATTAAAACAAATGCAAGTAGCTTATGTGTTCTTCCAGACTATCCTCTACAACTATGCCAAATTTCATCGAAATCCGTTCAGCCGTTTAGGCTACAAACTCTAACAAACATCCATCCATCCATCTAAACTTTTGCATTTATAATATTCAGTATGATTTAGAATATTAACAATGTAAAATTAATTTCCAAACACACATAAAAGTTTAATTTTGATTTCTCATACTAAAACTACATTAAGGAACTCCGTAAGTCACCTATAACTGACTTAGACAGTGTCATTTTGCGTCTTTGAAGAGGGTTTTAAGTGTCATATGACACGTTAGTCGTACAACTCTTGTCTCAAATTTAATTAAAATGTTAGGAAGTCGTTGCATTGTTATCGTTACTTGTTGGCGGAATGTTGTACAAAAGTTTAAACTTCGACTACGTTTAGTTCAGGTAGAACTTGGCTGTTTACGAATTGTTACAGAATTTCATCTAACATTTCCGACACGGTACGGAAGACTATTCTACTGATAAACTCAGTTACTTTAAAGGATTTGTCTATTTTGAATCAAATCATAATACGAGTATAGTCATTTGGCACAGATAAAGAATATAGTCAGGAAGAACGCATAGACTATCTTTTTTTAATTTCGCGCAGATACAGTCGCGTTCAAAAACTTGTGATGAACTACATAAAAGTTTAAGATTAAAATTCTTTCAAAACATTGGAATGGATTAGTTTAATAAACAATAATAAAGTAAAAAATATTTGATTTGACTCGGACAAACTAAAAAAAAAACCATTCTTCAGTACAAAGCTTCTTTAGGTACATATCAGCAAAATCGAGGCGACTTGCTACTTTACTATAAAGTAAATAATACTTAACGAGTTAATATTTTAATTTTAAACAAAGCTAAAGCCTTAGAGACGTTGTTGTTTCTGTGCAGCGATCGCGAAAGAGGCCACGGAGCCTTCGAGCCCGGCCTCCATCGCCGACGCCTCGCCCACTAAGCTTCCAAGTACGTCCACACTAACTTACATAGAGCTATAACAAGATCTCTACACAAGTTATACTAGCCTATATACAAATTATAACAAAAAACTAACATAATTTTTTACTTTTGGAAGTATGACCGATATTTGTAAACATAAAATACAATTCCAATTCTTATATTTACTTAAGTCATGATATTTGTAAAATAATACATTTAGAGATCTTATTTTAGCCTTTGCTAGTGTTTCATGTCGCACTCAAATCATCAGCACAATAATCGTACAAAAGAATATCGCACAAACCTATATCAATTCACCATTCATCAGCTTTAGAAATGTACCTGGCCGGCAATTAATGAACGTCAAACCCGTCCGAATTTTATGAAAAAAAAAACTTAAACATCTTTTTTTTTAAAGTTGCACGAAATTGATATTATGCCAGAGTTAATAGATGACACCGCTAAAATACAAAAAAGTAAAATATCGAATCCATTTTAAGTCATCTTAAATTTACGGAATTGATTTTTTTGTTGATAATGAAGGAAACAGTAAAACAAAAAACCTTTCATCTGAACCATGAAATTTAAAAGATTTATAAATACACTCTTTCATCAAGTTTAGTTATAGAAAGTTTAGTAAAGGAGAAAGGTTGTGGAAATTAACCACAGTAAAGTAGCAAAAAGCGCTGCAAAAATTCGTATTTACGAAGTTGTTACCGGGTAAGCCGCAACGTAAAGCGCTACAGCGGCTAGAGGGAAAACTTTTTAATGGCGTAAAGCAGCTTACGCTTGTTTTCAATCACGTCTTAATACATTGTATAAAAATCAAATGTCGAATTTTTACAGAAAGTTGTTTTTATTTTCCCAATTAATATAGACACAACAGTTGTATAAAACTACATCGAATTTAAATGATACGATATAAACGATATACTAAATAACAGTTATTCAACCTTTTTAATACCAAAGAGGTTATTATAAAGTCAAACTGGCCACTTTCACAAAACGTCTTATAAAATAGGTAGTGCTAAAAAAAAAGAATTGCGCGGGAAAATATGTGTCTGAAAAGTAACCAAGTGTTAACGTGCTATTGTAAATACAGTGTTTATTAGATCACATACGTTTATAAACAGTGAAAATAATGAAATTCTAATGGCACTATTCTATGTATCAAGAATTTATAGGTATAATTCCTTTTTTGTATTTAAAATTTAATGTGTAAAAATGTTTGTGAAGTTAATCATCATAATTTTCTTTGTGAAATATTGTCCTCTCTACAATATTGATACAACTCGGAAAAGATGTACATTTTGTGTATTGTTGGAAAGTATATAAGAACGATATGAAAATGTTTTTAATATTTCCCGTATTCCATCACATCGCAATTTTTACCGACATTAAAAATTGAAACAATGGACAGGTCCGCGGTTATAGCTGTTGTTCTCGTCTCCGTTGTTTTTTTTTTCTTATAAAAATATAGGCTTTCGTAGTTTTCACGTTTTTAATTTAAAAGTTGAGATCGCAGAAGATTAATAAAGCTAATAGAAAGTTTTATTATTATCTATTGTAGGCAAGAGCACCATATTTTATAACTGCAGAGGTATCTAAATTTTTAGGTTATAATGACTTTTGACGTAATAGTATTCTTATTCTTAGTATTCTCATCATAGAAAACGTTTAAGATAAGAATAATTCGATAATTGTTGTATTAAGTCAGTTATTACAAAAAAATCTATCAAAATGTAATTTATCACTTTGGATGCTTCTATCAAACTTGACCCAAAACGCGGTAAGTTGAAATGTCACCGTTGAGATGGGTCGACATTTTGGCTATGAAAAACATCGAAACGTAATAGTCGAAAGGCAGTTTCACTCAAGAGAAAATGCGTTTATTCTTAGTATTACGATGTCTATATTGTTTGTTATTTCTAGTATTTCGAACTTGAATGTAATAACCGTTTGTAATTTTTCGAAGGGGAAGAAATTTTGAACTAACGTCACATTTCAGGATCTTAACTACGAAAACTGACTACCAAATTTAACATTTATCATATAGCTACTCCTAATGAGAGACGATGTTTTTGTAATATCCTCTACTAATATAGATTTGTATTTTTGTTTGTATTAAAATAACTCAAAAACTACTGGGTCGATTTGAAAAATTCTTTCACCATTAACAGGCTGTGTTATCACTGAGTAACATAAGCTATGTCGCGGGCAAAAGCTATGTTTCATGTTTTGATGTATTTATGTGCAGAGTGCGACGAGTCGTTCGTGAGCCGAGGCGGGGCGGTGAGCGGGTCGTTCCACGCGCCGGAGCTCGTCAACCCGAGCAACACGAGCCGGCAGTGTCTGTACACATTCGTCGCGGCGCCCGGACAGCGCGTGCTCGTAGAGATACGCACATTCAACTTGCGAGGCAAACCGCCAGAGTGAGTGCACATCTTTACTCAAAACACAATAAAAAACACAGAATACACCAATTTTAAGCGCCAATAGCCTAATGGTTTGGGGTATGGACTACCGACCTTGCGGTCAAGAGTTCGAATCCCGCCATTCGACTATTGTCGTGAACCATATTGGCACAAGCCTAGAGCTTAGTTGGAATGGTTAAAGGAAATATCAGTAAAATAACAAAAATCTACTGATATTTAAAAAAAGCAAATTCAAGCTTTACAAGCACGGACTGTAGTGTTATAAACAGTACCGGTTTTAACGCTACTGTCGCCCAGGGCGTAATTTCCAAGGCGCCCCATTGATGCCATGTTTTTGGGGGGTAAAGAGCTAACGCCAGTCTGTGTAGTCTGTGTTCTGTGCAGTTAGACTGTGTAACTAGTTGACTAAGCCCTTTTCTAATTAGCGCCCTGGGCGGTTACCCAACTACACTATCACGACGGCCCTGGTTAAGATATTGTTAAAAATTAAAATTAGCTCAATATTTGTAGATTAGAATTACTCATCTATGTAAGCATAAAACTATCTGCGAATTAACTTTGCAACGTAATTGTATTATGATTGTCTATACAACATTAGACAAAAGGCTTTTATTAAAAGAGGCCAGGTTTATTTGGCTAGAAAGAGGCGGTAGACAACATTTCTACTCCTCGTTTTTTCCAGATATTGTGTTATCGGTCTTCTAAATTAATCACAATTTTTTCAGTGGAGCCGCAGTCGGAGAGCTACCAGCGTAAGTGTTAGAAATCTTTATTTTTATTTATATCTCGGTTTATAAACATAAATAAATAAATAAAATAAGGAATGAATTGAAGCTAGAAATGGAATCGGGTCAAACTATTCTCATATGCGGCAGTCGGTATTTGATTTATTTATCTATTGCTTCCTACAACATATTTATAGGTCGGGCTTAATCTTTCTAATGGAGGTGGAGTTCACAAACATTTTCGGAGTTAGCGGGAACTTTGTCCGCCATTAGCAAAACTGCAATAACTACAGAAAGGGACGTGGACAATTTAATAAACATATCGGGTTCCATAATGTAGGAAGCTTTACTCGGATACATTAATCATGCTTCTAATTTAATGAAAATATTGACGAATTCGCCACAGTTTCTTGCGGTTATCCTTTCTATTGGAAGAAATATAATAATAACAATAGATGAGTAAGAGATAAACTAGAATTTACGATATCAAATCTATCTAAAAAGTTCTAAATCGAAACAGAAGTACTAAACCGGACCTTAGATGAAAAACAAACGGTGATAAACTATTTCTAACTAGCTTTCGCCCGCGAATCCGTCCGAATGGTATTAAAAAAACAAACATGAGTAGTAGCCTATGTATTCTTCCAGAGTATCCTATATATCTGTACCAAAATTTATCAAATTCCGTTTAGTTGTTTAGGCTACAAACTCTAAGAAACATCCATCCATCCATTTAGACTTTCGCATTTATAATATTAGTATGATTTATTAACAAAGTTGAAAAACATTACTCAATTAACAAATTATTGGTTGTCTAAAGAGTATTAAAGGAGAGTAAATACATGTGTAATTGGATGAATGTGTGTGTTAAGATGCATGCACGAGTACATGGACATCTACTCGGAGATGACGTCGCTGGAGGCGAGCGAGCTGGTGAACTCGGCGTTCGGCGGCCGCTACTGCGGCCCCATCCCGCCGCGCCGGCGCGTCTCGCTGCACCGCGCCCTCGCGCTCGCCTTCTACACGGACAAGCCCTTCACGCCGCCCACGCTCTTCACTGGCACCTATCGCTTCATCAACTCCTGTAAGTTGCACATACACACAACTCTCATATATGATATTATCATTGTGCTACAAAGAAAGAGGAAGACCGAAAAAAGTATGGATTGATTGTGTGAAAGAGGATATGCTTAAGAAAGGAGAGGATTCAGATATGACGCCTGACAGAGATGTATGGAAGAGCAGTACATACTGTGCCGACCCTCCATAAAAGAAGCAAGTTGATGATGATGATAAAACACCACAACTTGGTTCGATCTTGTCAAAAATATCTCCGTTTACATTACATAAGGAATCACAGTTAGAATCTTATTCCCAATAGAATCTCTTAATCTTGATAGATTGGATGCACTCGTACTCTTTTACTTTGTTTATCATCTTGAAGACTAAAATATGTTGCTCTTCAATACAGTTTTTTGTAGAAATTTTAGCAGTAACTTTTAACTGTAGTTAATTTTATTGATTGTTACAAAACTATAGCGGAGTTCGAAGTGGGGACTCCGGTACCGAACACGCTGTGCTCGTTCGTAATCGAGGCCAGCAAGCGCAAAACAGGCCTGCTGCTGTCGCCCACATACCCCGGCATCTATCCCAAGGACATCAGCTGCAACTATCAATTCGTTGGTCAGCCCGGACAACGCATACGCCTAGAGTTCAGAGACTTCGACCTATTTTTCGGCGGTCCGCAGTAAGGCAGATTTTTTTATCTCTATACATCATTTACATACAAAACGATTTTTTCAGCATACCTCGTCTACATGATATATTGATAAATAAAAAAAAATCAATAGTTTGTTACTAAACCCAACCCGAGTTATCAGACTTTCTATACCACAGGAGGAAATGAGATGCAAATAAGTTTCTTTGCTCATCACACCGTCACTAAACACCTGATGAGATCTTCCAGCTTTGGCAGAACTCAGTATTGTACACATCTTAACTCCGGTGTAAGGTGTTGGATGCGGGCGGATGATCCAAATTCTAGGTGGCATCGAAAACTGGATGTACTTTTAAGGATGCTAGATTTTAGCACCAGAGTCTCCAATGGACTTGTTGCTCGTCTACCTTCTCATATAGGGTTGTTGAAGTGTGAGTGTTTGTCAGCTGCCCCTTCGACTGGGTGCGCGTGTACGACGGGCCCGACAACTCGTCGGCGGTGATCGGCACCTACTGCGGCCAGCAGCGCAACCTCGTCCTCTACTCCAGCGACGAGCGCCTGCTGGTCTCCTTCTACACGCTGCCGCGCGCCGCCAACACACAGAACCGCGGCTTTAAAGGCATCTTCGAGTTCTCAGAGAGTTTCGTTAAGTTAGGTCAGTTGCACTGTGAATATCTTTTTACTATGGAAATCAGGTTTTTAATTGAGTACAATGTATGACTCACTGTTGAAACATTTGTTAGTTAAGTTGTTGTAACACTGACAGTAGCCCGCTTTAAAATATTTGCGGGAATAGGTCAACTCAACCGGTGCAATACCACCACCACACAGACGACAGACGTAAAGTAAATAAAATAAATAAAGTAAAGTAAATTCCGCGTACAGTCTGAAGATTTTGGTATCGGAGACTTAATTTAGTCCCTCTTCCTTTCTACCCTTTTCTTATAAAGAAAGGATGGGGAGAGAAAGTAGATTTGACGATAAAGAAGACGCATAGGAAGGGAAATGTCCTGTTTATATGTGTCTCCTCCGTCGTCAATGAGGGTAGGCAGCGCATTTGTAATTGCGAATGACTATGGGCAGTGATCGCATGGCCAATATGGCAGATCCAGGTGTTCGCTTGCTGGTTTACCACCTTATAATATAAAAAAAAGTCTAGAATTTCGTATAATCTTACGGATATGCTGAGCTTATTTGACTAATCTAGTCTGATTGATATTTTGGTAACCAGTTTAAAGTAAGTATTGTATTGTTTCAGATTTTATAAGCAAACACGATGCAGAGCACATCCGGGGCTCCGAGTGCGACCAGAAGATCCTCAGCAAGAAGGAGTCCACCGGCTTCGTGTACCATCCAAACTATCCATTCCCCTATATACAAAAAGTTGTTTGTAGGTGAGCACATGTCGCAGAACCAATAAGAGAATAATATGAAATAATTAGAATTGATGTATAATTCTAACAAAAATCTTTTCTTTCCAGATATTTTATATACGGTATGCAAGACTCACAGAATTTGGAAAGAGTCCGCCTTGAATTTCAAAACTTTTCTATACCAAAGGGTGAACCGAAACCGGAGTAAGTTGCAAGAAACGCTATTTTTTTTTTTAAATAGAACTAGATAAAATAAATGGAACTGTTAATTAAAAAACCATAAACCTTACCTTCAATCTAAGGATGAAGACGTATCAAATGACAAAATTTCTTGAGTTATTGACTAAACTATAGCACAACTGTTTGGTCTCGTTTTGATTCCTATAAACTTATGTGGAGATGCGCAACTACTCGATTTTTAGTTGTGCAACTAAACAGTTAAATTCGATGCAAAACAATCAACAACCACACAATAGTTTTTTTTTATAATATAAGGTGGCAAACGAGCAAGCGGCCACCTGAATCCACCGAAATGGAAAGCGACCGTTGCCCATAAACATCCGCAATTGCAGATGCGTTGCCTACCCTTAATTGACGCAGGGGGAGACGCACAGAAAGAGGACGTTTCCCCTGACTATGCGTCTCCTTCACCGTCAAATCCACTTTTTCTTCTCATCCTTTCCTCTTAAGAAAAGGGTGGAAAGGAAAAGGGACTAAAACTAAGCCTCCAGCACCACACTCTTTAGACAAAACGCGGAATTGCTTCCGTTTCACGCCTAACTTATATGTGGTCGTGGTTTTGCATCGGGCAAGTCGACCCATTTGTGCGAAGATGTTAAAGCGGGCTTTACCACTGTATGCACAACTATCGCCAGTTTAGTCATAGTCCGCCTGCTCTTAAACTTTATTAGGTAATGTTTAGAATAGGCAGTAGGCTCCCCTCAGTGGGGACGTGAGTTGATAAGGCGGTGCACATGTTGTAAGCGGCGTGTTGTGGTCAGTTCGTGCGCCGACGGGTACCTGAAGGTGTACCTGCGCGGGCAGGAGGCCACGGACTCGTACGACAAGCACGACGCGGAGCTGTGCGGCGAGGGCGAGCCCGGCCCGCCCGCCTTCCCGCCGCCGCTGCTCTCCGACGGGCCGCGCCTCGTGCTCGTCTTCAGCTCCGGAGAGCTGCAGGGACGCGGCTTTAAAGCTAAATACACCTTCGAGACAGGTCACTCACATACTATCCTTCTGTACCCCACAGAACTACCGTCATGTTACTTCTTATCCAATTGCTGTTATCTTTCTATTTAGCAGACTTCTATTATTTAGAAGCATATTAAGTCTATGAATTGATAGTATCGGATGTAGAACCAAAAAAAAAATCGAACGGCACAGGAACAAAAATTGTACCAATCAGTGCATTGGGTGATCTTAGACTGAGGATGATGATGTAAATAAAAATCTACTTAGAAACAGTAAAGCCATTAGTGTTAAACTATAGAGTACTACCATTCCTATGACTTCGTCCGCTTGGAATTTAAAAAAAAAACAAAAGTGAATAGCCTTTCTGTTCTTCTAGATACTCTATGCCATGCTATGCTCTATACCTTGCCATTTATCGATATCCATTCAGCAGCTTAGGCTGCAAACTCTAACAAACTTCGATCTATGAACTTTTGCATTAATAATGTTAGTAAGATCACCCTTAAAATCTCACATACAAGTGACTTCATCGACATAATTTGTTAAATATCCTACATTGGGTTTTATAATGTGCAGAGTACCGTGTGCCGGGCACGGCGGCGCCGGGCGGGGAGTGCGCCTTCACGTACCGCTCCGAGGCGAAGAAGCGCGGGGAGTTCAACTCGCCGCGCTACCCCAGCAACTACCCCTCGCGCACCGACTGCAGCTACACGCTGGTCGCCGCTCACAACGAGCAGGTCACCGTCGTCTTTGACCACTTTAAGGTCAAAGCGGACGCCTGGAACGCCACTGCTGGCTTATACGGGTGAGTACCAGTAGGATTGAACGGAAAATTGCCTCATTATTATATGATAAGTAATGTCAAAGAATATATTTATCTGCGGTTTATGTTTAAGTTTATTGGCTCTCTACTTAGTATCTTCTCGTTCTCTTATCTATTCTTTCTTAGTTCTCTCATCTATTCTATGTTTTCTTTCTTAGTTTTACAAAAGTTTCTGGGTCGTGGCTTGATTAAGCAATCTTTTCCACTACTACTCCTACTACTTTTAGCCAATACATAGCAAAGTTTCGACTTCTTTACCAATAATACTTCTAGAGAGTCAATCAGGACTCATGTCTCGACAGGTGAACACCAATCAGCCTGAGTCCAACCAGCAATCTAACAGTGTTTTAAACCTTAACCAGGCATTCTTATAAAAAATACTAGCTGCTGTGCGCGACTTCGTCTACATAAAATTAAAGAAATAGTAAAAAAAACAGGCAATGTTTCTCGATAATAGTGTTTTTCAGTTATTTCAATACATACAAAAATGTCTGTATAGTATTAGTTATGATAATGATTGTGTCAGCGGGGCGACGTGCAGCGAGGACTGGGTGGAGGCGTGGTGGACGGGGCGCGAGGGCTCGCGCGTGCCGCTGGGCCGCTGGTGCGGGCCCGCCACGCCCGGCCCGCTGCAGTCGCCGCGCGGCGCGCTCGGCCTGCTGCTGCATCTGCACACCAACAACGAGGCCGTCGCCTCGGGCTTCAAGGCCAGGTATATATTCGAGGTAAGTCATTGCTACAAGAAACTTTTCATTTCTAATTTAGTCTAGGCCTAATTTTAGTAATTTTTCTTTTCCACCCTTTTCTTAAGAGGAAAGGATGAGAAGGAAAAGTGGATTTGACGTGGAAGAGATGTTTAAGAAGGGGAAATGTCCTCTTTATGTGCGTCTCTTCCATCAATCGGGCAACGCATCTACAATTGCGGATGTCTATGACGGCAGTCGCTTTCCATTTTGGTGGATTCGGTTGGCCGCTTGCTCGTTTGCCATCTTATGTTATAAAAAAAACATCATTCCGTGCTTAGGTACTTACGTACTTAGGTTTAAAATTTTAAACCACGTTAGGAGATCGAAAATTCTTTGAAGTAGATTGCATACGAACATAAGTCAGGAAGTCTTTGGATGCGGAAGGCATAGAACCGCATTCTATGGAAATCATTAGAGAAGGCCTATCTCCAGCACTGGACATACAAAGGTTGATGATGATAAAAAGATATGTTATTTTTTTTATAATATAATATAAGGTGGCAAACGAGCAAGCGGCCACCTCAATCCACCGAAATGGAAAGCGACCGCTGCCTATAAACATCCTCAACTGCAGATGCGTTGCCTACCCTTCCTTTTCTCTTAAGTAAAGGGTGGCAAGTAAAAGAGACTAAAATTAGACCTCCGGCACCACATTCATCAGACGAAACCCGGAATCGCTTCCACTTCACGCCTGTTTTCTTTGTGGTCGTGCAGTGCGAAGATGTTAAAGCGGGCTCTACCACTTAAAAGGTGATGAGCCGATATGTAGGTGCTCTTCAGGGGTCAAGTCTTTAACTAAAGCATTTTTAATGAACTATTTTGATATCGTGTCTCCAGCCGGCGAAGTCAATATTCGGCGACTGCGGGGGCAACATGTCGGGCGCGGAGTACGGCGTGATCACGTCGCCGCTGCACCCGGCGCCCTACGCAGCGCCCGCGCGCGGCGCCGCCTCCCGCGTCTGCAACTGGTTCGTCACCGCGCGCCCCGGCAAGCGCCTGCTCCTCAACTTCCAGCTCTTCGCCGTCGAGGGACATCTCATCGGTAATACCGTTACAGTTTGAACAATTTAATTCAATTTCTTGATAGTTTAATTTTAAATTATATTATTACGCTGCTAAGAGTAAAATTGGTAATCTCAAGATTCATAATTTTTTTTAATTCCTCGGGAATAGGATAAGGAAAGGAAGATGATGATACTTTTGGTTGCTAAGTTTAAAGTCTGGGGAAAATATGAAACATACGATATAGATATAGATTTAACGAAATCTATCCAAAATTGGATTAAACCTTCACATTTCCGTTCAAAAAATCCATGATACCGATTTGTCAATAATTCTCGAACACCCTGTATAAGAGAGTGACTTCAGACTTTTTGACTGGCTATGTATGGAAGAGGACATTTTTGCCTACTTTCTTTAAATAAAAAGATATTGCTGCTGTGTCCAGACCGCGGGTGCCCTGCGGCGGTGCTGCGGCTGTGGTACGAGAGCCCGGGCCCGCCGCTGGAGCTGTGCGGGGAGAAGGCGCCCGCAGACCGCTGGCAGTACCTCTCCTCCTCCAACTCCATACGGCTCTCGTATGTACACTTCTATCAATGTCCAGTCAACTGTTTAATTTCAATAAATTATTTGATTTTTTTATTTAATACTGGCTGTTAATTTTTTTTCCTCTTTATATTATCACTAGTACAGATAGGAAGCCAACATATTGGATGAAACAATATGTTTCCCCGACCCTACGGGAGTAGGATAAGGAGATGATGATGATGATATTGGATGAAACAATTAAAGATTTTTTGAGAAAAAAATGATAAGACGAAATAATTCTTGTAAGTCGGGAAACTCTAAAGACCATTATCAGAGTTCATCCAACAACTTTGTCAACATCGCTCTTAGTCTTAGATATTCTCGGCTTCCAATTTTGAATTTCTTCTTAAGGCACCGCCGACTTCTCTCCTTCTTAAGGCGAAGGTTGGAGTTCAATTCTGAATAATTATCGATTTTTACGAGAAATATTCACAGTTTTTAATATTAAACCTTGACCGTTTATCAATAATATCAATTAAATGCATTTTGTTATATTCATATGTTAGGTTTATAATAGCCGACAAGTCAGTGGGCGCGGCGGGCTGGCGCGCCGTGTGGACGGAGGTGACGACGGAGACGGAGGGCTGCGAGAGCGCGTGCGCCGGCGCCTGCCTGCCGCGCGCCGCCGCCTGCTCCGGCCTGCAGCACTGCGCCGGCGCCCCCGCCCCCGCCGCCGCCAGGCCTCCACACTGTTAGTATACACACACACACACAACGCTACTTTTCGACAGAAATTACACTTTTTAAAAGCGATTTTATGTTAATTTACAAACATTTCTTGTAACATTCCAAGTGAACTCTAGACTTATGCTAGGAATGGATTACAAATAAAACATTAACAACATAATAGCTGTCATTGATAATTCGCAATCTCTAAGTAAGTTGATTATCGTTATTTAAAAAAAAATCTGTATTAGAACATAACCTTATATTAGGGAGAAAATAAATTCATATCTAAGAAGAATCTAAAACAATCATTCACACAATGCCATACATGTATCTACAGTTTGTGCCTCAAATAAACACGGTGTAACGACACTAAATGGCTCAGAACTTTCAACTTTCCAATCTGACTAATATTTTAATTGAAAATTAAAGAAAACACATAATATAATTATTCGAATAAACCATTTTTAACCTACTGTAGCGAATTATGTTACAACAAAAAAGTACATACGACTACCAAACTTTTACAGCAATGTAAAACGTAAAACACAGCAATAAATCAGCTTACAGCACAACAAAACAAGCATTTAAAGTTAGTCTGCGACACTACACAGGAACACATAGCTTTCAATGCATTTGCACAAACAAAACGCACTTCGCTTCTACATAGTATTGTACAGTCAATTGCATAAATATTTATACATCTACCAGTACTACCGTTAGGGGCGGCGACCGCTCAGGGCGCCGGAAAAAAAGGGCGCCACAAACTCACAAAGGGCGCCTCATTTTCATAAAGAGGCGCCACATACTTATAAAGGGGCGCCACATGCTCATAAAGGGGCGCCACATTCTCATAAAGTGGCGCCACATTCTTATAAAGGTGTGCCACTGGCGCCTTTATTTTTATGGGTTCATATAGCATTAAGGGGCGCCGTAGAAATCTCGCCCAGGACGTCGGTAATGCTAAACGTTGACATTTACCACTTTAGAAACTTCTATAAGCCGGTGTCAAAGATATGAAATCATGTATTCGTCAATAACATTTAGTAATACTCGGAAACGAACTAACTGATACGTGTATGCATATTTTTGAATATAGAAAGCATATACATGTTTCTACAGGTTTGTAAATATTGACATACTTTTGCAGCTGACTGTACAAGTAATACGAGAATTGAATCTACTTGAAATATATTATGTATTCAAAGATTTTAAGGTTAAGATATAATACGAGATATACATAACCAATTGTTCTCAGTAGAGACGTTTATTAGTAAAATAATAATATAAAAAGTGATTTTACATACAATTTATGTTTATATAAATTTATTGTAGTTTAAAGTTGATTGGCTATTCTACTTCTTTCCAAATTTACTTTTTCAGCAACTGTTTTAAATAGAAATGAAATCACAATTAAATTGTGGCACCGCACAATGCAAACTCCACGTTATTACCGGAATTCCATGACGCTTGTGTTAAACCACTGACCTCTATTAATGGACAGGTTACATAACGTGGTATTTTGTATATGATTTTCGACATCTTAGCGTCAACATCACCGTTGGTGACAATTGGAACTAATAATAGAGAATTAACTGTTATTAACAATAGTAATAAAAACAAAAACGTAATTTCCAAGTAAAAACCTATCCATTTATACAGATCAATGGTTAATACACATTGTCATCCTTTTCCATTCTCTGCAATATGTCAACAAATCTCATTGCAGTGGAATTCTACGGTTATATTGTATAGGCACTTGTATTTTATTGGCATTTTAAGAAGAAACAATATCTTAGACGTTTTGAAATGATGTATTTTATTGTAGCTTGTTGCGGAGTAAGCAGTCGTTAAAATGTCTTAATACCTTCAGTTATTACCCTTCCAATTTCAAACGAATTAAAAAATTCCGAAAACATGATATTTAGGGTCTGTCACACTAAATTGATCTGATAACATTCCAACGTGTAAAATATGTGATGGAAATAACGGATTTTGTTCCCTTATTTTATAACTATCAGAGTTTCTATCAGTCAGTGGTGGGACAGGCCCTAAGTGCTCTTTCGTTTAGGATATATTATGTCGTGTTTTTTCCCTAAAATGATTTGTCTGCATTTTTTTAAATACAATTTAAAATACGTTTTTAAATAAAGTTATTAAATACATTTGGAATAAAAGTAGATGTTTTGTTGTAGTTCAAAACGACAGACTGCTTACTCCCTGTTTATTCTATTGTAAGGAATATTTAATGTAGAAATGTTTAAATGATACATAAACAATACTTAAAATGTATATTTAACTTTTGAATGTTGACGGTTCAATGCAATCTTTGTCTCAGAGGATATTGTTAACTAGATTAGCAGATTTAGAAGAGTTAAACGGACTATGTTGGTGAATTAGAATATAACAATGTTGCAACACCATGGACTCTTTTATTTACAAACAGCGACCCTTTTAATGTATATTTAATATTCACATATAAATTATCATTTTACATATCATAAAAATACCCACTAAATAGTTCTTTTAAAATCCGTTCTAATTCTTTTTATATACTGTGATGACTCAGGATAGTTAGTGATAGTGCAAACAATTTAATTTATCGATTGTTTTTGTAAAAATTTAGGTTATGTAACATCCAAAATCCAATGGGACGAAGTTTGCATTGAGTCATCGCACTATGGGGCCTCGAGCTCTGCGTTTAATATTGAAAATACTTGTATTTTTATTCAACATATTTATTGTATATTTTAGTCATTATGGATAAATAATAAAACATAAAAAAATCAGTATTTTCAATGTATCGCACAGCCGCAAGGACTCCTAGCATGAGCACTGTAGCTAACAATTCAAGGCTCACAAGCTCATCCTAGGACAGCTTGGCGGTGTCGGTGAACTGACGTCAGCAACACAACTCCTGACTTCCTGTCACCGCACCGTCACCTCTTCGCTCATATGCACTTTCTCCTTTCTGCTAACCGACAAAAATTTTTGATCACGACTCGAATCTTCATTCTACTACCTTAATGACATTTTAAAAACGTGCTGATGAAAGCTAAATAGAATTTAGGTTATATTGAAATCAATTACCAATTCTGTACCATTTAGCGAATCGGTTTGAGATGGAATTTTAGTCGGTTGGTGTCTGCAAGGGGTAGAATAAGGTACGAGAGCGGATGTGTGGCGGTGTGCGCAGGCGCAGCGGGTGCGGGGGGCGGGGGCGGGGCCGCGCCGCGCGCCGCGCTGCTCGCGCTCGCACTCGTGCTCGCCGCCCCGCACTGACCGGGCGCAGCGCACGTGAGTCTCCCCGCCCACGCTACCACGCCGTCTCGTCGTCTCGCCTAACCGTGCTCATTGTCTTTCGGCGCTGTCCATGCTATCTGTATCCAGTTCCTTTATTTCGGCGCTATCCATGCTACCAATACCTTTGTCGTTTTTTTCGGCGATATTTTTGCAAGTTTCTTTACTTCATCATGCTTTAACCCAACAGAGAAAGCTGCTTCATAAATTGCTTCGTTTGCAGCGCAAGTCATCCGACTCGAAGGACCTTTTGATTATTACTAAAAATTGTTAAACAACAATGCTTGCTCTAGATTATTTGGCGTTTATCACACGTGGACTAATAATTTTCTTGAGTTCTATTAGAAATTAGATAATAGTGTAAACTCATGAAAGGTAAACTCTGTTATGTAAGGAAATTTTTAGGACCGCGTGTATTGCTTGCAAAAGTCTCACTGCTTGTTCACGCTTCTCCTGCTTCTAGAATGATTAAATTTTTGTATGTTAAACTAAAATATAAACTAAATCGTTTAAAATCATAAAAATTAAACAATGTAATTTATTAATTATTCTTACTATCCTTTACTTTTCATATGTAATGTAAAACCTCGTATATGTACTTAATTTGAGCATCGTTAGATATCCATTTACTCTTATTTTGTGTTGAGAGATATAAAAAGAATTATTTCTATGGGACAAAAAAATAAAAATGGGGAAGCGAATTTAAGACAAACTATCCCAAAAGTTTAGATTGATGGGGGTATGAGGTATTACGATTAGATCGATGAAGCAGAATGACAGGGAAGCATACAAGGGTATTAGAGGTGGGTGTGATGGTGCACACAGGCGGAGACAG